TTTGATAGGACAACTGGATAGAAAATCAGAAAGAGGACTGGGGCTATAGCTCAGTGGCACAGCGCCTGTCTGGCAAGTATGAGGTTGTGAGTTTGATTCCTTGTACAAAAACAAAACAAAACAAAACAAAAAAAAGAATATAGGAAAGCCGGATGTGGTGTCTCATGTCTGTATTCTCAACTAATCAGGAGGCTGAGGCAGGATTATTGTAAATTCAGGTGAACCTGGGCAACTTAGTGAGCCCAGTCTCAAACAAACAAACAAAAACAAAAACAAAACAAACAAACAAACAAACAAAAAACAAAGAAAGAAAAAAGAAAAATGTCTAGAATTCAACCCAGTAGCCCTTGAGTTTAATTTTTGGTACCAAACCAAATAAGCAAGTAAAATAAAATAACACAAAAAACAAAACCCATCAGTTGGATAAAAAAGAATGAAAGTAAAACATCAAAAGTTGTAGAATACAGCTAAAACATTGCTGAAAGGCATTTTATTTTATTTTTTTCCAGTCCTGAAGATTGTGTCCAGGGCCTTCTCACTGAGCTGTTATTTTAATTAATTAATTAATTTTTATTTATGTTTTTGGCAGAACTGGGGATTGAACTCAGGCCCTTGCTCTTGTCAGGGAAGCACTTATTCCACTGAGCCATCTCTCTGGCCCCTGAGCCATATTTTTTCACTGAGCCATTTTTTAAATACCATCTCCCCAAGTTACCCAGGTTGGCCTGGAATTTAGTACCCTCCTGCTTTAGCCTCCCAGAAGCAAAACTTACAGGTGTGCCTATCTATCTTTTTTTTTTTTTTTTTTTTTGCAGAACCAGGGATGGAACTCAGACCCTTGCGCTTGCCAGGCAAGCGCTTATTCTACTGAGCCATGTTCTCCAGCCCCGTGCCTATCTATCTTGAGCAGAAAGTGTACAGATCTATAAGCTCTGATATTCAGAATAAAGAGTAAGAAGAGAAGGGGGGTGGGAGGTGCTTTCAAAAGAAGTAGCTGGAAGAAAATGAGGAAGATAAGAGCAGAAGTCAATAAAATTCTTTAAAAAAAGGTAAGAGGTTAGGGGGGTAGCCCAGTGGTGGAGCATTTGCAGAGGATATGTGAGGCCCTGGGTTCAATCCCCAGCACCACTACCACCAAATAAATAGAAAAAAACATTTAAAGATAAAAATCAATGGAGGGGCCGGGGAGATGGCTCAGTGAAATAAGCGCTTCTCTGGCAAGCGCAAGGGCCTGAGTTCAATCCCTGGTTCTGAAAAAAAAAAAAAAAAAAAATCAATGGACGCCCTGTGAAATAGTTCAGTGGACCAAGCGCCTCTTAGGCCAGCACAGGGACCAGCAGGGCTGTCCCGCCCCCAGGCACACTGAGCCCCCCCACCGAGTCCAGGTGTTGTAGGCATGCCTGTACTCCTAGAGCTGGGGAGGCTGAAAACAGGAGGATCACTGTAGTGAGACCCTGTACAAAATATATATAAAAAATAAAACCTCAGTATTCAGGTTTTTATTGTAGTGTTGGCACCTTATGATAAATAAACGAGTTTAGGGCTGCAGTCTAGGCATTCGATCTCTAAAAGGTTCACCATCACTGCTGTATACAGATAGGAAAGATTGTCCTAAAATTTCTATGAAAAAGCAAAGTATTTAGAGTAGCTGAAATAATTCTGAAAATTAATACAATAGGAAGATACAGTGATTCCTAATTTCAAGAGTTATTATATGGTTTTAGTAACCAAGACTGTGTTTTTAGCAGTGGAATAGACACTTTGATAGAACAGAGCAGAGAAGGGGCTGGGGATGTAGTTCAGTGCACAGTGCCTGCCTGGCAAGTGCAAGGAGGTGAGTACAAAAAAAAAAAAAAAAAGCAGAGAACTTAGAAATAGGACCAACTGAATTTTTGAATTGAGGGTACGCTACTAATGAGCTACATTTCAAGCCTTCTTAATACTTTATTGTAGGACAGGATCTTGCTAAGTTGCCCAGGCTGGCCTTGAACTTAGGATCCCCATGTCTCAACCTCCTGACTGACTGAGGTACAGGTGTGTGCCATTGTGCCTGACAAAGTCGCAAACACAATGAAGTGGAAAAAAAGAAAATGAGACTTCTCAATAAATGGCAGTGGAAGACCTGGACACCCACAGGCAAAAACCCCAAACCAAATCAAGCCAAAAACAAAACACACACACACACACACACACACACACACACACACACACACCCCTTCTACCAAATGATCACAGATTTGAAAGTAAAACTTAAAGTTATAGAACTATCAACATAAAATGTAGAAAGAAATCCAAATTTTGTAAAATTGGCACCAAAAGCATAATGCATAAAAAGGAAAAATTGACAATCTGGACTATCAAAATTAAATTTTTCTGCACTGTGAAAGATCTTGTTAAGTGGATTTAAAAACAGGATACAGATGGAGGAAATATTCTCAAATCACATATCCCAAAAAAAAAAAGGACTACTAGCTAGAATATATAAAGCACTTTCAAAATTTGACATCAAAAAAAGCAAACAATCAAATTAGAACATGGACAAAAAAATGAAACATTTCATAAAAGAGATACATAACAAATTACCATGTGTTGAAAAGATGTCCTGTATCAGAGCCACTTGACACACATTTAAACTACAGCAAGATAACACTACACATTTAGCAGAATGGCTTATGAAAAGAAGGGCAGGGGTAGCACCAAATGCTGGGTGAATGTGAAAAAAGCAGGCCATTCCTACACTAGCGGTGCGAATGTAAAATGTTACAGCCACTCTAGGAAAGCATTTGGGAGCTTCATTTAAAATTTAAAAAAAAATAGAACATATAACTACTATGTAACTAGCAACTGTAGTTGGAGACATTTATCACAGAGAAATGAAGACATATGTTCACACAAAAACCACTACACAGTGTTCATAGCAGCTTTATTCACAGTAGCCAAAAACTGAAAATAACCCAGATGTCCTTGCTTGGGTGCACAAATAAACAAACGGATGCATGCATACCACCATGGAATACTACGCAGCAATAAAAGGAGCAGACTGTTGTTCCATGCAAGGATGTGGATGAATCACCAATGATGCCTGAGTGAAAAAAAAGCCGATTCCCAAAGATTACATATTTATGGTTCCAATTGTAGAACACTCTTAAAATAACGGAAGAACAGAAATGGAGAATGATTAGTGGTTGCCAGGGGTTACAGAGAAGTAGGAGGGGCAGGGAAGTGGGCGTGGCCAGGAAAGGGTTTTTGGTGGAGCTTGGACATGTTTCCCCCACCCTTTCTTCTTTTTGAACACAGTGCTCCATCCATGCTAGGCAAATGCCCTATTATTGAACTATATCTCTATTCCTTTTAATTTTTGAGGCAGGATCTTGCTAAATTGCCCAGGCTGGCCTCAAACTAGCATTCCCCCTGCCTTGGCTTCCCAAGTAGCTGGGCTTACAGATAGATGCCACCACACTTTAGCAGAAATATTTCCTATTTCAACTATACTGATGTCAGTTTCTGGGAGAGGATATTGTATTATAGTTTTGTAAGATGTTACCATTGTGGGTCCAGGGTAAAGAGTACTCAGAATGTGTCTGTACTATATCTTAAAATTACACATAAATCTAAAAATATCTCAAAAAAATCTCAAAATAAAGTCTTATTTGAAAAATGTAGGTGAAAAAAATTAGGTGAGAGTACAGATATAATGTGGACTAGGCAAGAATTCTGAGGATGACTGAATGAAGTTTGCAAACCCCACTTAGAAAAAGACACCTTGTCGTTGTAAAAACTCGTTTTCTTTGCTGCTGACAAAACTCCTCCAGAGGTTTCAGGGAGTGAAAGCTGCTGGCCATGATGGATTGAGCGCTTGGCCTTTATGAGCTGTGGTTTGAAGCAGAGCAGGTGGGGCCAAGTTTGGAAGATGGATAGGAAGAGCAAGAGGTCAAGGTCCAGGCCAGCAGGCAGGGGCAACCCCCTCCTTCCTGCCCTGCTGTCCGAGGCTGGTGAACTCACTGAGGGCCTGAGGCTGAAGGAAGCCCCAGGGGCTTTTATCTTTCCTGGTCACAGGCACTGGCAGTGGCCATTCAGGGATGTTTTCAGGAGAAAGGAAGTAGCGCCCTTGAAAGTTACCTTTGCAAGGAGAGGCCCAAGGGTCTTGTAGGTGGGCAGATGAACTCCTTGGGTAAACACCAGGAGTTTTGGTCAAGCGCTAGGCCAGTTGCTCCTTAGATTAGGCTTGAGGGTGTTGTTTGCATGTAGCCTTTGGATATATTCCCCTGAAACTCCCAGAAATTTGGGTTTCATAGGTCTGGATTGGGATAGGGACTTTTTTTTTTTTTTTTTCTTTTTTTAAAGACAGAGTCTTGCTATGTAGCTCAGGTCAGACTTGAACTCACTATGTTGCCCAGGCTGGCTTCCACTGTCCTGATCCTCTTGCCTCAGTGTCTGGGTGCTGAGATTATAGGCAGGTGCCACCACGCACAGTGGTGTGGGAAATATGCATTGCTGACAAGTTTCATGGTGGTACAAAAACTTCTGATCCAGAGCCCACACACCGAGAATGGTGTTAGTCTAACCGGGAGACTCTGGCACAGCTGTCACCTGTCACCATCTGTGGTTCTTACAGTGCAGGGACCCTGCACCTGCACAGCCCAGAGAGGGGCAACGCTTTGAGGTGGAGGTTGGAGAAGATCATGGGGGATTTAGGGAGCAGAGGTCACTGGGGGACAAGAGGTGGCAAGCTATGGAGAGAGCAAAAAGTCAGAGGGGATAGGAGAGCGGTGGATGCGCGTGAGATTCCTGCACAAGTTGGATGAGGGTGCTGGGCGCTGTTCTTGGATCCAGCTTTCAGGGGCTGAGAGACAATGTGAGATTGGGGTTTGGGACCCAGACAGGAGCAGTAGGGCTGGGCCAGCGTGGTGTCCAGCGGCTCGGAGGAATACGGCGGGGGCGGGGAGGGGGCGGGGACCCGCGGAGGGGGCGGTCGGCTGAGTCCCATCCCGACCGGATCCGGAGCCCAGCGGCCGCACCTTCCCCGCCTTGTGGGTCTGGAACCTGGCGCCGTTGCCCACCGGCCACCGTCCCCGCCGGCCGCGCTGTGACAAGGGCATGAGCCTGTCTCGTGGCACCACCGAGCCAGCGCCCGAGCCCTGGCCTCGGTGCCCAGGTACATGGGGCGGGGGAAGGGACCTAGGCCGCGCTGAGCCCGCGGGACCTTGAGTGCTCCCAACCCTGGGCACCCGCGGGCACCTCCAGAACCTTCGAACTCCGACCCAGGGACCTTCCTCCTTGGGTGTGGAGGCTCGGAAACGGGACCTCCCAGAGCCAGGGCGCTGCCTGGAAACTATGCCTGAGAGGGTTTCAACCCTAGCTCGCCACTCTGGAGAGCCCAGGTTGGGACCTGACCTCACCTGCACTCACAGGTACCTATCAGAGAAACCTGGGCCTCTGGCCGCCAGGCTCTGGTCTCCAGAAGGGGCACTGCCCAGGCCACGCAGGCCCCCAGCTCCGAGTTTGCTGCTTCCCCGTGGCCTCCTGCTGGCCCCACACCTCCAGTTCCTACAGACTGTTTTCTCTAGCCTTGCTGGCCCCGGTGTTTACTCCACCTGCAGGCAGGATTTTCTACCCACTGCTTATACTCCGCCAGCTGCCACCTGCCCTCGAATCTTTCTTCCTGCCTGGAGGTCCTGCCCACCTTCTCTGCCACCAACCACTGCCCAGGGCTCTGGTTCCAGTTAAATGCTTTCTGTTACCACTTAAGGGGCTTGAGCCAAGTCTGGGCACCTAAATGTGGGTACAGCAGGAGCTTGGTCAGGACAGTTGCTTGGCGCTGGGATGGAGGACTTGAGAGTAGGATCTGATAGTCCAGGGCAGCCAGGCACTGGGCACCAGTTCCTGTTCCCCTTCTGGGATGTCCCTCAAGAGCTGTGCCCCTCTCCCTCCAGTTCCCCTTCTGGGATGTCCCCCAGGAGTTGTACCCCTCTCCCTCCATTGCTTGTCTTTCTGTGCCTGGGTGCTGGTTACTTCCTGCCAGAGCAGTGGGCTGGGCATGACCCCACCCAACAACCCCACCTTAGTTAAGTGGGGCTGGCCAGGTCTGCACACAGTAGTGCCAGCAGCTCACTGTCCCCTGAGGCAGCTTTGAACCAAACTGTGGGATCTTGGGCCCACTTGGTTCACTAAGAACAACTCTGCCGGCCCTGACTGTCAGTGCTGGGAACTAGGCGGGTGGGAGCCAGCTTTTGGAAGCTGAGCTGGTGGCTGGCTGGATGTTGCTGGTGTTGAGGAGGAAAGTCCTGGAGTGGTTTATTCATTCAGGCCCCAAACACTGAGCCTCTCCTTGGCACTAGGCAGTGTTCTAGGAGTTGGGATGGAGCTGTAACCAGAGGAGGCCTGGCCATTAGGGAGCTGACATTCTAGATGTCTCTTCATGGCCAAGTAGCAAATGCACAGATGGAGGAATAAAAATCCTACAGTCATGTGCATGACAAAGATAGTGACCCCAGATTAAGTTACAGAGCTCTCAGGGCTCTTCTGGCCAGGGTGGCCAGGATGGTCAGGATAGTTAGGGAAGGCCTCCTGGAGGAGGTGACCTTTGAGCTCAGATCTCAATGAAGCGGTGGAATGATTCTTGAGAGTGTGTAAGGGAACAGTGTTGTGGGCAGGGAACAAAAGTGGCCTCTCTAGGAGGAGTTTGGCAGGTTACGGGGTGGGCAGGGACCAGGAGCGATGGCAGTGATATAAGGTTGTAGCACCAGTTTCCTCAGATAAGGGCCTGGAAACTGCTATTCAGATGTACCTCCTCCCCTTCTCTCTACCCAGTTAGGTATCTTATATCTTTGCTACTCACTTTGTTTGGGATGGTGGCTCCTTATGGAGATTTGGGGTTTTTTCAGGAGCACTCCTGTGGCCTGTCACAATCACTTGGGGGAGGGAGGTCAGATTAGCAGGTAGTGGAAGTGTCCCTGGTGCTGGAAAGAATCCTCCCCACTGATAGGATCTTTGCTGTGAGGTGGAGACAGCCAAACTACGTGATGATGAGAAGGTACGTAGGGCTGTCTTGACGCTCTGATAAGATCCATCTGCTGGGCGGGGAGGCCCAGCCAGCCAGGCAGCTCTGCCATTGGGTTCTGGCCTCAGAGAGTAGTGAGTAGTGTTTGTTCTGGAGCCAAAGCCTCCAGGCAGAATCCAGGGAGGGAGAGCTCAGAGTGGCTGCCCCATGGGGCAGGCAGGCAGGCAGCCCCCTGCCCCTTGATGGGCACCTGAGACAGCCCCTCTCCACCTCTCCCCATAAGGACCTGCCCTCCTTGAGGAGCAAAGCAGCCCCCAGCCTGGCTCTCTCTGTGAGGAGCTGGTGGTGGCCTGGCCCAGGGCAGACACTGACTAGAGCAGCGGCCACATCAGTGCCCCTGGGAGGAGGGACTGGGGCCATTGGGACCCACACTAGAATCTTGAAAGGTGCTGCTGGACACCTAGCTTTGCCATTCTGGGGGCTCCCAGTTCATGCTCTTTGTACCCTCTGCTGGGGAGGGGGCTTCTCAGAATAACGGACCCTCCCTTCCCAGGGATGGGAAAGGCTGGTGATGATGGCTCAGCAGTGATGAGGACAATTGCCCCAGGTGGGCAGTGCCTGCCTCAGCTGCCCCCTACTTGTTGATGCCTGTTGGGCCCAAAGGTGATCTTGGGGGCCACTTGTTTTCTTAATACACTGCAGGCCCTCTGGGGAATGGCTTGGCTCCAGGTCTCCCTCACCTTGACCCTACTGGCTGTCAGATCTGTGAGTCCACCCTTTGGCCCTTCCTACTCCCTGCTAACTATAGCTTTCCCAACCCTTCTTTACTATAGCTTTTTGGGCCTCAGATTGAAGGTTGCTCTTATAAATCTCATAGACTGAGACTGAGTGTGGCCAGGAGTACCCTGCCTGGGGCCAGAGTAGACTGCCAGGACTTTGCCCACCTGGCTTCCCTGGGCAGGTCATACTACAGGTTTATTTTCAGGGGGCTTTGTCCAGGGCCTGAGGTATGGGGTGGGGTATGGGCCTGTGGACAGACATAGCAGGCACACTCAGAGCTTGGGGGCCACTGACCCTCCCAGGCTGCCATTGGGAGCCACACTGAGCAGGTGGAAGGCTGCCTGTGGGAGATTTCACAGTTGTGGTTGGCAGTACCTGTTGTAAACAAAACACCAGCCCCTGGAGTTTTCCAAGCAGAAATTCTGGATCCAGAGTGAATGGACAACTAGGTACCCCTTGGTTCCTTTCCCTCTTTTAAAATAGGTAGATTTATCCTTTCAAAGAGAATCAGTGGGGAAACTGAGGGTGAAGCAGTGAGCTGGCTGGCCCATGACTACACAGCCAAATAGGCCACACTCCTGGGTGGGCCACACCCCTGGCACTCTGGACAAACGAGGAGACCTGGGGGATTCTAGTAGATGTGTTGAGAAAGGGTCCTTTATGCATGATCCACCTTGGGGAGGACACTATGGTGCTGTTCCTTGCTCTGAGGACAAGGCAGCCCCAGAGGCGGGCAGTGGAGACAGAGCTAGGAAACTGATGCTCTTCTAACTGCAAGAGCCCAGGTGAGTCAGGGCCCATGGGGACAGGACTTTCAGGAGGAAAGCTGAGCTGTTGAGCGTGGGCGGGTCTAGGACTCTTGGGAACTGGTATGCAGGAAGTGAGTGGGCAGGAGGGACACTGGCTGGGCTGTCAGGGTGCACATGGGATGGGAGAACATCACCCCTCTGCCCTTCCCCTTGTTTGTACGTGCCTGCTGCAGTGTCCCATCTGTTCCTTGTTAGAGACGCAACAGACAGGCCTCTAGGAGATTAATTAATGCCAAGCTGCTGCAGCGCGCTTGCCCTGGGGCCCATCCTGGTAGCACAGATACTCCACTGACCCCAGAGTGCTAATGAATTCCCACCCAGTGATCTTGAAAACACAGGGAGCCCTGTTGTTGGCAAAGCCCTGGCCTTGAGGCTGGATGGCAGAGAAGGCTCCCGCAGTAACAGGAGGTGGCTGCAAGACGATGTTCTGTATCACGATCATGTTCTGGAACATACCATTCATTCTTGTCTATGCTTTGGACTTGCTCTGTGACTTTATTCTGGTGGCTTACCCTCTCTGAACGACTATCTTTTCTCATCTGTAAAGTGAGGCTTGTAGACTAGGTCATTGCCAAGAGTCCCATGATTCTGTCTGTAGGTCTGCCTGATTAAAGGTCGCCTTGCTGTACCCCATTTGCTTCCCTATGTTGTGCTCTGCTTGGAGCCCATACCATCTTCTGCATCATCTGCTCCATGTCCTGGGCCCTGGACCTAGCCTATTTTCCCCCTGTAATTAACTCCTGCCAGTGCTCAGAACACAGAGGCACTGGTTGACCAGGCCAGACTCAGTGTTCTGTTGGGACCCAGACTTACCCTCAGATTGGCGCCGTCCTCCCAGGGCCAGGGCCAGGCCAGAGCACACTGTTCCCACAGCAGCCACCTCCCCAGCCTTGCACATTCCTCAGGCTTATCTAGGGGCCCCGCCCCGCTGGACTCTGCCCTCCCACCCCGGAAGCATCACCCAGAAGAGCTGCCATAGGGCTCCAGGGGCCTTGAACTGAGCCTAGTGGACCCTGGGGTTTTGAAGAGACCAGGTGTTGATGGGGTAGGTTGGGGGCCTGGGATCTTCTGAGGGCCACAGGGTGAAGTGTAGGATTCGCTTAGACCCCAGACCCTGGGCCATCTCCTGCCACCTCATTTCCCCTATCTAAAGCTTCTGTACATGGGTGGGAGCTTTGTGCTGGCAAATTGCCCTAGGGCTGCCCCAAAGTTGTTCCAGGAGAGAGGACCAGGGGCAGAGAAGCTAAGGGATGGCAGCTCCTCTCCCCAGCCCTGGGCTCCACCCACCTCACTTCCTCCACTCCCACCTCTATCTCAAGCAGGAGCCAGATCTCCCAGGAAGGGGTTAACTGCCAGCCCCAGCCATGAGGGAGGGGACTGGGCTGGACCATTTTCCTCGCTGCTGCCTCCACCTTGGTTTTCCTGAATGGTTCTGCCGTCCCGGGGTGGGGAGGAAGGGAAGGAAGAAGGGTGGAGGGTGGGAGGGAGGAGTGCGGGAAGAGGAAGGAAAAAAGAGAGCGAGACATCGAGGGGAAGAGAAAGATGTCACTGTCTCTAATCTCCCTGTCATCTGTGTTTCCAGCGAGCACCAGGCGAAAGAACTGTTAAAACAATGCTGAGGCGGGCGAGGTGAGGAGCAGCCCTAACGGACACACACAGACTATACAGACAGAGGGAGCGCAGCTGGAACAGGTGATCGGAGAGTCAGAGACCGAAGCCACCTGGGCATCCCTCCCCTGCCTTGGCCCAGCCCGGCGCCCCACCCCAAAGACGAGCCGTGGGACCACCATGGCGACCAATTTCAACGACATTGTCAAGCAGGGCTATGTGAAGATGAAGAGCAGGAAGCTTGGGGTGAGTGACCGTCACAGGGCCCCGCCGAGGTACAGTCCCTGAGGGCTGGTCTGGAGGAACTGCGTGCTGGTTTGTGCTGTCTGCTGGAGGATTAGCATCTTGCATTTGTGGGCTCTAGGCTCCTCACCGTGGGCCACCTGGAATGTGCCAGCCCGGGCTCTACCTAGTGGGCCCTACCTAGAGGGGCTGGCTGCCTGGCATTCCAGCCGCTGGGCCAGCGGTGTGGCTGATGGGCAGCAGCTCCTCTGCTATTGTTGAAGTTGTGGCCACAGCAGCGGCAGCCGGAGCCGCTGGAGACACTGGGCTGTGTCTTGAGCAGAGACTGGCTTCTCCCACTTCCTGGGGCCTCCTCCCTCCTCTTTCCTCACCTCTCCTGGCCTCTTTTCTTTAAAGTACCCCATCTTCCCGTTTCCCACTGTTTTCTGAACATGTATATTTATTGTATTTTTGTTGTTATGTTTGTTAAAGAAATGTTTGAAAGGAGGGACACTGCCTGGGGGGGAGGGGCAGGGGATGCCAGGGGCCAAAGCCTCCTGAGGTCTGTGGATGAGAACTTTGGCCAGAGTGGCCGGTTTCTGTCTCTGGGACAGACTGATCTGCTCCAGCTTGTTGGCAGGTGGCTCCATGCTTGGCTGGCCCTGGGCTGAGGCTCAGAGGGTCTGCAGAGATGCGCTTCACAGCACATTGTGCCCCCAGCTGGGGAAGGTACCCCAGAAGGCATGAGAGCCACTTAACCATCTTGGTGAGGCATCCAAGAGCTCCTGTACTCCCTGCCAGTCATCTTTCCACCTCCGGTGATGGGGCTGGCAGCTGCTCATGCCCAACAGCAGGAAGAAAAGACCTGGTGACCAAAATTTGCCCAGGTTGTGCTTTATCCAGACTCCTGCCCTTAGCTTCTGCCCTCCCCCACTGCCTTGATGGGGTGGGGGTGGGGTCAGCTGCTCAAGGTTTCTTGACTTGCTTCAGCTGGGTGGAGGACAAGGAAGGAAGGCTCAGTGTTCTGACACCCGGCTTCCTCCTAAATACCGGGCAGGCAGGGCTGGCCCTGGAGAGAGATGGATCTTACCCCTGGTGGAGCCCCTGTGGGAGTGCATTGTATCTAGAAGGGGCTAGCAGCTCACTGCTGTCAGGTGGGCCATCTGTCCAGCAGGGCAGAGCTGGTGGCATGTTCAGAATATTATCTGGACTTGACTTTGTAGTCCAGACTGGACCCTAGGCTGGTGGAGACTTTGGCAGCCACCAGTCACTTTGCTTTTCCCCTGAGATGGGGATTCAGCCCACTGACTTGGAGCCCAGAACAAAGACAGGGGCTGAGGCCCCAGTGGGGAGATCAAGGGGCCTAGGACCTACCCCTCCTTCCTATACCCGATACCCAGCATGTCCCCAGGGCCCTGTCCAGGGCAGAGCTTGCCAGGAAGGCACTGGCCACAGGGACAGCTTCTTGGGATCAGCATCAGAAGGAATCCTGGGGCTCCAAGTGGACAGGTAGGCATAGGGAGGAGGAGGGCTTGAGAGGTGGGGTGTGGCCAGGTCCATTGTGGGATTTCCTCCTACCCAGGGGATCCAGCTGCCCTCTGCAGACTTGAGGCTTGCTGCCCATGATATGAGGGACTGCTGTGCTCGCCTGGGCTCCGCGGTGGAGGAGGGGCTGCACAGATGGGAGCCCACCCTCCTACCTGCCAGGCCTCCCTCCCCTGCAGAGCAGTGGCAGAGAGCTTCTGAAGCGCTGATCAAAGCCCTGGGAGAAGTGGGAAGGAGGGCTTTTGAGCACGTGGCTCCCTGCCTGTGTGAATGTGTATATTGTAACCAGGCAACCACGGTCCTCCAGGCCCCTGGGCTCGTGCCCCTGCCACTGCAGGCTGCCTGGTACCCAACCTGCCAGGTGCATCTGGGTCGGCATCATGCACTCATCCACCCAGCCATCCATCCATTCACTGTGTCTTGTTATGCTCATTCATGTGTTCAGCAGAACTCGCAAGCATTCTGAGAATTAAACAGTCTTTGTTTTGGGGTGCTCTGCAGTTCAGAGCTGGGGACCACTGTGGCCTAGGTGGACTGGCCAGGGCCCAAGCTGTGGTCTGGGGTACAGGGCAAATATGGGGGTTCTAAACAGGAGCTAGGGCTTCATGTGATGGGGACAGTCTAGGCCCATGGCACCCTATGACCCTGCCTGCCATATACCTGGTGCACCATGGCAGATTAGGGCTGAGGTGGGGCAGGGTTTTGGAGTTGTGGACCCCAGATCCCTATGTCTTCTATGCTCTGTTCCACTTTGGGCCACCCCTCAGGCTCCGGTTTGTGGTGAGAATGGCACTAGGGATGCCCAGGGTGGGGCCTGCTAGCCTTTGGAGCCATAGGGTGGGTAGATCTGTTCCAGGCTAGGATGGAAGAGAGCCTGTGGCAGGAGGGTGGGGCCCTGGGAAGAGAAGGTAGGACATTAGCTTAGGTGGGTGGTCTGAACCACCCATCAAGGTGTCCCGTTGGCCAGTTTGAACCTTTAACCCTAGGGAATGGTCAACTTTCTCTTCTTATCCCCAAAAGTGCTCAGGACATTGACAGTGGTTGGGACAAGAAGGAATGACCAGAGGGCACCACAGGTTCTAGCTGTGCCTCTTTACCTCTGAGGTTCCCAGCTCTACAGTTGGCAAGAGGATAAAAGGGAAAATGTTGGGGGACCAGAGCAGTGTTACCAGGAATTTTGTGCAGCATGGAGAACAGGACTGGGGTGACCATAGGGTGGCTGTGGGCCAGGGTCCCTATACTCCCTGTCTCTTAAAGACCCCTATTTGGCAGCTGGTGCTGCTAGAGCTCTGGCCAGAATGGCCTGTGCAGTGGGCTGTGCACGTCAGCTCTGGATCATGACAGCCTGCTGCTATCAGCTCCTGGTTTATGAGCTGTTACTTAACTTGCTAGTGTTTCATTTTACCCATCTATAAAATGGGGACAATAATAGGACTGGCTTCTGGAAAGACCTGGGATCAAAGAATACTAATCCAGAAAGTGGGGATGAAGAGACCTGAAACAGCATTTTGGTGGCAACAGCTCCCAGCAAGGGGCTCCTTTCCCAGGGAAGTGTCACAGTATTTCTGTCCCCTGATAGTTTTCTCCAGGAAGGGCTGTGTGGTGCTGCCCCCTGTGGCAGGAAGGGGTAACTGCACAGCTGCCTGGCGGGTGAGAGAGTCTAGGAGGCCTGTCGTCTTGCCCCCCACAGATCTACCGCAGGTGCTGGCTGGTGTTCCGGAAGTCCTCAAGCAAGGGGCCCCAGCGGCTGGAGAAGTATCCAGATGAGAAGTCTGTGTGCCTCCGTGGCTGTCCCAAGGTTAGGTGACTTGGGCTCTAGCCTCCCATTTACTGAGTCCTGAGGTCCAAGAACATCGCCTGGGGTGGCAGAGTTGTGGGGAGGCAGAGAGAGTTGTGCCAGCCTGGCTTAGTCCCGAATGAATGCCTCCCCAGGTGACTGAGATCAGCAATGTCAAGTGTGTCACACGGCTCCCCAAGGAGACCAAGCGGCAGGCAGTGGCCATCATATTCACTGATGACTCTGCACGTACCTTCACCTGCGACTCAGGTGAGGCATGTGGGGTTGCAGCTTCTGTGTGGTCTCCCTGTCAGTGTCATGGTCAATGGCCCAGCCAGGAGACAGAGCAAGGCTGGAGGGTGTGGCAGGGTGCCCTTGAAGGAGCTGCCAGACTGAGGAGGACAGGCAAGCAGCTTAGCCTTGCCCTCCCTGCCTTTTGTGGTGGGATATCCTGGGCTGAGGCAGACGGGGGGGGGGAGAGCTCCTGGCAGCTGTGAACTGGCAGTAAGATGAGGATCCATTTTCCCCAGAACTGGAGGCAGAAGAGTGGTACAAGACACTGTCTGTGGAGTGTCTGGGGTCACGGCTCAACGACATCAGTCTGGGAGAGCCTGACCTCTTGGCCCCAGGGGTGCAGTGTGAGCAGACAGGTGAGGCTCGACACCGGGGCAGGTGGGGCAGGGTGGGGAGGAGGCAGGGTGCCCCCCCTCTGCTGCTCCACACCCACCTATCCCTGCCTGTCCCAGATCGCTTCAATGTCTTCCTCCTCCCCTGTCCCAACCTGGACGTATACGGCGAGTGCAAGCTGCAGATCACCCACGAGAACATCTACCTCTGGGACATACACAACCCCCGCATCAAGCTCGTCTCGTGGCCACTCTGCTCCTTACGCCGCTATGGCCGGGACGCCACACGCTTTACCTTTGAGGCAGGCCGGTAAGACCCTCTTGCCTCCCAAGAAGTTACAGGGAGGCAGAGCACGGTGCTAGGAGTTCAGAGTTCAAAGGGGATGAGGTTTTAGAGGAAGAAATCAAGGTTCAGAGACGTTATCTGTCCAGGGCAGGCCAGTCGAGTGATGCTGCTTACCAAAGGGCTAAGTGCTCAAATCAGGTGCTGGTTTTGTGGGATAATGAAAGCATTGAGAAAATTATGGCAAGAATGGTCCCTGGTGGGAATCTGAATTAACTTTAAGTGCCCTGGAAACAGCGTGGTGGGGCACCCTGTAATCCCGGCACTCAGAGGCTGAGGCAGGAAGATCGCGGCCAGTTCAACGGCAGCCTGGGTTACATAGTAATGTCAAAGGCAGCCTCAACTACATTAACAAGACCCTGACTCAAAAAAAAAAAAAAAAAAAAAAAAATCCACGAAAAGCTCTATAATTGTCTATACAATCTTGAGTTACCCAATTTCAGTATGCTTGATTTTGCATCTATAAAATGGTTCAAGAAGACATCAGGGATCTGTTAATCATGTGGAGACCAGAGGGTGGTGGTGGGAACATTAAGTAGGTTAATCTTTGTGAGACACGGTGACCTTGGGTAGACACAGGGACATGCTCAGCACATGTGCACTGGTGGGCCGGCTCCCAGCCACAACCCGGCCTGTGCCCTGGGTGGCCCAGGTGTAGGAGCGCCTGGCCAGGCATGCAGGAGGTACAGTGGGCCTCCCATCACCTTGCCCTCTTGCCACCTGTGTCCTCAGGATGTGCGATGCTGGGGAAGGGCTCTACACCTTCCAGACACAGGAAGGGGAACAGATTTACCAGCGGGTCCACAGTGCTACCCTGGCCATCGCTGAGCAGCACAAGCGGGTCCTGCTGGAAATGGAGAAGAATGTGCGGGTAAGGCCAGGGTCCAGGGGAGCCAGGGTGGGCAGGCCTGAGTGCCTGGGGCTTCCCATCAAGTCTCAAACCAGCATGTACACAGTGGAGGCAGGCAGGCTTTTTATTGGCGTGGTCAGGGAGGGGAAGATAGTTTGGCTCTATAGCAGGCTGGCTTCCAACTCAAAATCCTGCTGCCTCAGCTTCCCAGCTAGTGGGACCACAGGCATGTAACACCAAGCTAGACTGAGGTGGGTAGTCCTGAGCTAGTGCTCAGGGGCAGTGTCAGCCAGTGCTCCTAGAGCTAACGGGAAGGACCCCTTCTTTGCCCCACAGCTGCTGAACAAGGGCACCGAGCATTACTCATATCCCTGCACACCCACTACCATGCTACCCCGCAGTGCCTACTGGCACCACATTACGGGTTCCCAGAACATTGCTGAAGCCTCCAGCTATGCCGGTGAGTTGCTGCTTGGCCCTGCACCCAAGGAGGACACCCAGGCCTACTGGGCAGGGGTCTTTTGACATGGATCCGAGTTAAGCCCAATCACCTTCTATGCCCACAGGTGAGGGGTATGGGGCAGCCCAGGCCAGCTCAGAAACAGATCTCCTCAACAGATTCATCCTGCTAAAGCCAAAGCCCAGCCAAGGAGACAGCAGCGAGCCCAAGACCCCTTCCCAGTGACAGCAGGGCTGGTGGGCACCAACGACCACTGCGGCCACCTGTTGCAGAGCTCACTGCAGTGTCCCGTGGACAGCACAGCCTCGAGGGGCTATTGGGCCAGGGCCTGGAGAGAGGGAGTGAGCTGACTCTCCCTTGTCCCCAAGGGTGTGGCTGGCCCCAGGCAAAGGGCTGGCCACCCACCTGAGCATGTAAGGGGCTGAGCTACTATGGGACTACATACTGTTCATGATTTTAATATATATGGCTTAGGACATACTCTATATATGAGACTCCCCCATCCCTACCAACACATAACACATTTTTTAATCCCATGACCAAGCCATGGTCAAGGTGGTTTTTGAGTATTAGGGCAGCCGTTTCCCTGCCCTCTGTTGTACAGCCCTCCTGCTGCCTGGACCAGTGGAGGGAGACAATCGGACTCGAGGCTGGCATACCTGCTAGCTTTTCCCAAGCAGCCCAGGGGCCAAAAAGGGAGGTGGCTTCTCAGTTCTCTGGGCCTAGAGTGATACAGGAAGGATCTGTACTTTCCCTGTACCACCTGGCAGCCTTCCACTTGGAGTTCTAAGCAGAGGTGACATCTGGTTGATGCCTCAGGTGAAAATCTGTTTTAAAATGTACTTTCTGCACAGGCTGCTTCCTGCTTAGCAGGCTCAGATGCCCTTGGAGTGGGGGTGCTGTTGCTGTTACCTCATTCGGGTGCAGGGTGGAGGACCAGGCGGGAAGGCCACAGCAGGACTGCAGTGGCGAGTACCCCTGCTCCCCCAGCAGGGGGAGCCCCTCCACCCTAAGCTTGGCTGCCCCATACCAGAGTACTCAGAACCAAGACCTTCCCATCCCTGCTCCCCAAATGGTGCTGAGGCTCCCTGCTGAAATGCAATTAAAGCAATTGATTTTCTAGTGCTGATATTTATTGACTACCGTGCAGAAGGGCTATCTTTCTATTTACATCAAACCTTTGGTTGTGTGGGTTTTGTTGTTTTTAATACTTTAAAGAGTTCTGATTTGTGGGAACAGACCTTGTAAATAACCGCTACTCACATTTGTGGGAGGACAATGACAAAGCAGGAGGCCCCTCCCAAAGGAGTCCCAGAGCCAGAGTGGTGGCACAGCTGGCTCAGCTCTGAATGTGACCCAGGGAATGATCACCCAGAGCAAGCTAGTGTGCAGGGGAGCTGGGGTCCACAGGCCTGGGGAGGGAGCCAGAGCTGGCTGGGTCAGCTAGTGGCACGTTGACGCATGAAGGAGGTTATGTTGTGCTCTTTATTGCCAAAAATAAAAACTTTTAAAACAACAACTACTGTTAATCAATAAATACCCCTTCTTTTCTATACTGATCTCTGCTTCTCTCCAGGCTGCCTAACTAGCTGCTCTGAGTATGCTCCCACCTGGAGACTGCTAAGGAGCCAGGACCAGAACCTTCATTAGGAGAAAGCCATGCGTGGAAGGAGTTGCTGGGTGGGTAGAGTAAGCACATGTTTACATGTGGGGCAGAAGACAGCCAAGGTCTAATGCTATCCTATTTCAAAGGGTTACTTCTCAAATTATGGGCATCTAGGAATTTGAAGGGCCCGCAGATTGGCCTCTGGGATCTTACAGGCTGCCTGGACCAAGGTTCCAGCACCTAATCCTAATACTAGAAACCTCACTTACAGCTGTGAAAACTTTTGGACAGAAAGACTTTAAAGAGCTGGAATGACCAGGAGAGAAGTCCAGTGTTCTATACAGCAGAGCAGGACAGCCCCCTACTGGCGTGCCAGGAAACAGGATGGGAAGGACGCTTTGAGTTCTGGCAAGCACTACCCTGGCAGGACCAGGGATGCTAATTGTCTTGTAGAAATCAGCTGTGCTGCAACACCAGAGGTATTCCTGATAACCCATCTGCAACCCCCAGCTAGCTGGTCCTGGTGACCTGTCGTGCAGCTTGAGCAGTAGCAGCCCAGAGCCCGGAAACTAGGAGGCACAAGAGGCCTGAACTCCAGCTGCGGCCTTCAATCTTCCCTGTGCTGAAACAGGCAAGCTGCAGTTAGTTTATGGTTAGTACATCGCTCTGAATCTCGTGGCTTAGCTGAGTCTGTAAATCACTCAACTTCTTCTTCAATCCAGAGAGGGCCGAGAGGACAATGGTTTCAGGGCGCAAAGAGCCACAGGACTCCACATTGTAGTAAAACCTAAGAGACAGGAATGTGGTGAGGACCCCGGCCACACTCCAGCCATGGACCACCCTTCCTTGCCCTGGGTCTTGGCTTCATCCCCCTCATGGAGCTGGAGCCTGACCTGGTGTAGGGCAGCTCTTCCATCTAAAACCACCTGTGCACAGTGGCCCAAACCACTTTTCAGATCCTTGAAGACATGAGTACTTTAAACAGGTACCATGACAATCCAAAAACAATTCTGTACAAAGATGTTCCACACTGGGACAAAGTGGAAAGTCAAACCAACAGTCTCTCCCTGCTACAGCCCTTCACATTCTTCTTCTAGGACCTGAGCTAGGACCTAGAAAGCCTCTTTTTGCGGGATTCAAATGCAGAAAAGGAAGAGGCTAGAGCACTAGAAGCACTTTCATTCTCACTGGAGACCACCCAGGAAATGACGACTGACCTGAGATGGGCACCCAGCATGAGTGCAGTTTGCAGCTGGCAGATGAGAACTGGGATGTGAGGGAAAGGAACTGCCTGACTCAGCCTGCATTCAAACCCATGTCCTCATACTGCACTTTCCTGTGTAGGACTGGGGTCTTACCTCTCTGGCTTGCCGTTGGGGTCATAAGGAGCTTGTGATTCATCTTCATCCAGCTCTGAGTACTCACTCTTTGGCCTAGGGTCAGACAGAGGTCAGCACGTGAACACTGCTGCTTTCAGGGCCCTTCAGACAGCTTGCCCCACCTCCTGCACTAGCAGCCCTTACCAGCCCAGCCACACTAATGGGACTTACCATTCTTCTGGCTTGGGGTACACAGTGTGCCTAAGGGCATTGTCCGGATCATACTCAAAAGCCACCCCTGCAGTCGGGTTCCACTTGGCATGCTCCTTGCCAAAACCCTTCTTGGCATAGGCTCGAAGTCTCAGCTCCTGGCCCTTTCTCAGCTTGACAATCAGGATGTCTGCAGGCAGGGAGAAGTGTGTCAAGAAAGGGCAGGCAGGGCCTGGCTCTCCACCGTCCAACAGTGCTAAGACCATACCTCTGGAGAAACAGGCTTACGGCCACAACATGAAGAGACCCAGCGGCATGAGAGGCTCTGTCTGGTCCACATGTCCCCCCAGCCTGTGCAGCCACAACTCAGGAAGACACGTGCACGCCTGCCCCAGCCCCTTACCGTCCTGCTCCACGTAATCATTGGGGTCGTTGTCTCGGTTACGGGATGTCACCTGTAAAGGGGCCCAACAGAAACACTTAATTAGTCCTTCCTCCCTCAGCTGCCTCTTCTGGCATCCATCCCCAACACCACCACCCTGCAACATGTCCAGCCAGGGAAAGAGTGCTCAGAGGAGGGGCAAAGGTGTCTCCAGGGACTCCACGATACTACGACCCCATGGCCCTTAAAAGGGTCCACTGGGTGACAGTGGACACAGCAGCAATGCTGCTCTACCCAAGGATCCAGATCAGTACTTCTACGTGGCAGATTAGGCTGATGGCTATGGCTATGGCCACATCTCATGAGGATCCACACCAGCCACGGCCATGGAAGCCACAGAGGGCAGAGCACAGGGCCTGGGAAGGGTGCCCAGACACTGACCGGGATCACCCGAGGGCTATTTGAAATGAGGTCTCGAGAGGTGACATGGCGCGTCTGGTCTTCGTTGCATCGCACATCGAGCGTGAACTCCACTGAGCACTCGGGGCAGAACTCTTCACACGTGCAGTCCTGAGGCAACAGGGAAGAGAAGCAGGAAGGAGGGCCATGAGGGGAAGAGGAACTCCCACCGGGCCGGTTGCTTTTTACCAGGCTTTGCCAATATGAAACAGCACTCCCATGAGCCACTCAAGCAGAAAGACGAACTACACACACACTGATACCCACATTCCCTCCCCACTACCTGGCTGGGTGCCATGTCACCCTGGGAGATGCACTGCCACTCGCTCTGGCCTTGGAGTCCCCTTCCTCAGGGCCAAAGCCATGGCCAGAGAAGGCACTTCACACAGCATAGGCTATGGGCTAAGGAGACCGCCTGGGGGAACTAAGCACTACTTAAAATGTATCTGCGGCTAGGCATGTTAGGACACATCTTTAATCCTAGCACTCAGCAGGCTGAGGCAGGAGGATCACAGTGAGTTCAAGGCCAGCCTGAACAACACAACAATACCCTGTCTCAAAAAGCCAAAAGTAGGGGAGATGGCTCAGTGGAATAAGCACTTCCCTGGCAAGCGCAAGGGCCTGAGTTCAATCCCCGGTTCCGGAAAAAAAAAAAAAAAAAGCCAAAAATAACAAGGAAGAATAGAAGAAAGTAACTTACATTGTGGACTACCCACTTGTTTAAAAACCTATCATGGGGGCTGGTGAGATGGCTCAGTGGTCTAAAGCACCTACTTAGAACAAGGTTGGCAAAGCACAGGGACCGCGGTTCAATCCCCCAGCACCACATGCCAGTCAGCCATGCCCCCTAGTGGGCTAAGCTGGCCACACACACACACACACACACACACACAAATAAATAAAAAATTAAAAAAAAAAAAACCTATCATGGAACTATTATACATGCATAAAAATAGAAGAGTATATTGAACAGTTCAATAAAAATTAAAACACATGTAAAAAAATAATTGGCTAACTATATAAGAAAAATAGACGTGTTTATTCTTTTTTTTAAACTTTCTATAGATTCTCAGGTAAAAAAGCCACATCACCCTTGTTCAATAAGTGTATTAGAATTTAACAGAACCGCTAGGTCGTAAGGCATGCAAATCAAGACAAAGACATCCCTAAGTTGTTTTTAATTGGTTGTACAACTATCCCCATCAATATCTGGTGCTTTTGTGTGTTTGCGTACGCATGCGTGTGTGATGTGTGTGTGTGTGTGATGTGTGTGTGTGTGTGTGTATGGTACTGGGAATTGAACCCAGGGCCTCTGCACTCAGCTTTATCAGAGCCCTTTTAAATTTTTTTATTTTGAGAAAGGGTCTCACTAAATTACTAAGTTGTCCAGGCTGGGCTTAAACTTGCAGTCCTCCTGCTCTAGTCACCTAAAATGCTGTTATACTTTATTTTTTGGAAACAAAAATACTGGGCTGCAGTTTTAGCTCAGTGGTGGAGCACTTGTTTAACAAACTTGAGGCTCTGAGTTTAATCCCAGCCTAGGGCAGGTACTGTAGACAAGAAACGAATATGGCAAAATGATAAAATGTGTCAACTAGTCAGGTGAAATGTTGTATTAGTTCCACACTTTTTTGTGTGTTTCAGTATTTCTCAAAACAAAACCTCTATACATATTTAGAGATATATCAAGTCAGCCAAAACACAGATGACACACACTTGGGAGTATCAGAAAAATGGCTGATTCGGTTATCACCCAGAGACATAAAAAAGGCATAGCTTGAGCTATTACCTAATGCAGCACTAGTACAAGGATGAAGGAAACCTAATCCTCTCCCACCTTCTCCCATTTATGCATCATCAGAGAAAGCAAACCCAGCCCTAAGGACAAATAGAGTGGCCATGCATCAGAAGCCACGCCTACGGAAGAGGCAAGGATGTGGCAGGTACCCACACTGACATCCCTCAGGTGCTACTCTAGGGAGCAGCTCCTACTCCCTCTACTCTCTGTCCCTTCCAACCCCAATCTGCAGCTAATTCCTGCCAGCCTGCCAGCCTCGTGCTGCCCGAAGAGATGTTCTGGAAAGAAGAGTCGCCCGGACAGTACAAATGTGCATTTCAGTAGATGTCCCCTCTTGTGTGGCTGGCTAATGTGACACCTTCATGCCTAATCAGCCTGAAGCGCCGTAAGAACCAACAGCCGGCCCCAGGGTCTACACAATTCCATATTGTCTCCCTTAACTACAACACTGTCTAAGCTACAGACAAGACGCGAGGAAAATCTCTCAAAAAACTGAAGCCTCTCTCCACCCCCAAAGACCACTGAACACACACACACACAAACGCATGCACGTCCACAAGCACACAAATATATACCCGGGAGTACTGCAGCTTGTCCACAATGTCATCACTAGTGAGGGGAATTAACCCTGAAAGACACAGAAAAGCACTTTATCAAAGCCCCAACAGCCAAGCTAACCCACGAACCCAGAAGTCCCTTTGCCAGTGAGGAGGGAGCGGGAGACCTGCTCCTCTGGCTCAAGGCTCAGTATGTTCCCTTCAACCCCCCAACACCAGAACACCAGCACTCACCAAGCCTGTGCGCGATGAACTCATCGTGAAGGACTGAGGAATTGGCATCGATCTGAACCCAGTCGATGGCTAGCAAATGAAGGAAGCAGAGATGCAGACATGTGGTTTAGCCACCAAATTCACCTACAGACTTATGGCAGTGCTCTCAAGGTCCTTAAAAAGTGGTACTGTTCGGCTTGAGCTATATAATTCTATGAGAAGCATTTAAATGTGCTACCCATGTCAATGACGGACCTAATAAAGACTATCATGATAAGTGTGAATATATCTATCTAAGACAAGTTCTCACTAAGTGGTCCTGACTGGGCCTGAATTTGTGATCTTCCTGCCTCAGCTTCCCATTGTGCTGGGGTTACAGGCGTGCATCACCACACCCAGCACCGTCCTTCATTTTACGACAATACTACATTACCTAATTTAGAACTTCATTACCACTCCACATCGGCTATTTACTGAATTCCTTTAACAGGCTAGGCATACTAATATAAAATCCAGTCCTTTCCAGCAATGTGCTGGGAGGCCAATGACTGTACTCTTACACTGCTTGACTGAAATGAACATTTATCCATTCATAAATGAACATCAGCATGTAAACAATGAAATTCAGAAATTAATGGCACTGGGGCCCAACTGCTAACTTACTTTGTCTGGCCATGCTCTCTTAATCTAAGCAAAGACCATGACCCAAGCTGTTTAAACTCTTTACTCTCCTCCATGCCTTTATTTTGCACACCCCCTTCCTAAGGCTTGTTCACCCTCCATGCTGCAGATGTGTTCATTCCCTCCCTTTGAACTCCTCTCTCACATAACTCTGTCCACACTTCCTTCAAGACACCTGTCACGGTTTTGCATTGCATCAAGTTTGTGTATGTCACGTCTCCACCTCAAGTTTTGAAAATTCCCGAAGCAGGTTGCTGAGTCCCTGCTGCATTCCTAGAGTGGGTGCTCCGCTTCATGTTCAGAAATGCATTTTTGGGGAAAGTATCATTTGGACTCAGTTTTACTCCTGAGGAAACAGAGGCCCAGAGGCACGCCGAGATTTGGCGGGGGAAGACCAGCATGCCACAGAGTGAAAGATGTGACTGGGGTGGTGAAGAAGCACAGCAATTTCTTGATTACTAACCCTTCGGTCCGCTTATTTTTTCAAGTTTCAACACCTGACACAGGTGTGATTTCTATTTCCTCTGCCTAACCCAACTGTCTGGGCGGACACTTGGAACACCCATGCATACATAGTGGGTAAAACATCTCGAGCAGAGCTGCAAGAACAGGCCAGAAACCGATTTGCACTCAGGCAGGCACCAAGTGCACCCCGGCTATGCTTCTTCTGTCCCCATCGAGGCGTCTTTGTGTCCCTGTTGTCTGTGGATTCATTCTTCTCCTGCAGCTTTTCTGTGAGCTGCACCAGGGCTAACCTCAGCTCTACGCAGTCGTGCAATCCCAGGGCCCGGCACCACGCCTGGCTTTAAGATGTTCCACTTGTGAAGTGGAAAGGAGGGATTCATAAAAAGACATCTATCCGTATTGCACTTACTAAGCACAAAGCACTGCATAATCCTCGCCATCACCCCACTCCGCACCACTGGTGTAGAAATACATCCTGCTGCTTTCTGCTGCTTCCACTGAGCCAGTAAGTGAACACGATAGAGCCCAACTCAGCTCCGGTTTGAACCCAGACTCCACAGCGGGCACACACCGCACCAGGGGGGCCTAAGCAGTCCTCGGGTGCCAGCAACGGGGTCTGATCAATTCTCCAGCCCCGCAGGCTTCTCGACACCCCCACACTCAGATCCAACCATGGACCACGGGGGAGCGGGAGGCGGGAATGAAGGGCGAGGATCTGGCAACAAGAGAAGAGCGTCTTACCTATGATAGGGACCTCTGCGATGAAGACCCTCCGAATAGAATTGGCCACCCTAAGGGAGAGACACGGGGCACCGTGAGGGCGGCACAGCCTCGGCAAGCCGGCCCCACGCCCTGGTGAGCCCACCCCGGCTCCGCGGAGCCGCCGGCCGCATCCCACGGCCGCCTTACGCCAGGTCCGTGTTCTCTATGATGAACTTGACATTCTCGTCGGTGAGCTCAGTGATCCGCACGGTGGGCTGGTTGGCATACGGCATCTTCGCCCGAGACTCCCAAGACAATCCGCGTTCACCCCGCCGCCGCTACCGGAAGTTGGATCAAGCGGCCCCCGCTGCTTCCGCCCGAACGTGCTGCAGCGCCACCTGCCGCTCGGAGGCCAAGACCGTCCCAGCCGGTGTCTTCTAACCAGCCTGCTTCAAACTGCACCAGTTTAAACCATCTCCTCAGCCTGTCCCACTGCAGAAGGGATTTTCATTATGCAGTTCAGGCTGTCCTTGAACTATGTAGCATAGGCCGGCCTTGATTTCGCAGCGATTCTTCTGCCTCAGCCTTCCAAGAACAGGTTCAACCATTTTAGAAAGTAAGCGACAAAACATGTTGACGTTTAACGTCTAGGAATTCACACTGCAGAGGCACTTAAAAACAAAAATCCATGTGTAAGGTCGCTCATTCCAGTACTGTTTGTAATGGCAAAAGATAAAACTTACAAGGCAATGTTGCCTTTAGAAAGATTGAAGCTGTATCTCTTTGGAAAAATAAAAGCATACTTAGCAGTGTATGCATACTTTTAGCAAAGTAAGCCTAATAGAGGTCTCTACACTTTCCTATCCATCCTTCATGGCTAGATGATATGCTTCTGAAAACTGTAGGAAAAGGTGTAATGCTATTCAGAATAATGCATCATCTATAGCTCTGTGTAGTTGCCGTGGGTGGGAGCTCTTCATCTCTGCATCCTCAGTGTCTGATCGTGTGACCACAGAGAGTGCATGCTCTATCAAAAAGCGAGGTGGCAAGCACGTGTAACCCCAGTACTTACAGGGTGAGACAGAAAAATCTGAAATTTGAGCCCGGTCTGGGCTTGAGACCTAGTGAAACTGTATCTCAAAAAAGAGCTGGTAGACAGGCATGCCTATAATCCCAGTACTCAGGAGGCTGAGGCAGGAAGATCCCTCAGAGTTCAAAGCCAGTCTGAGCTACATAGTGAGTTTAATTAAGGTCAGCCTGAACTACATAGCAAGATCCTATCTCAAAGGGAGAAGCAGAGGGACTGAGGATGTGGCTCAGTGTAAAGGCCCTGGGTTCAATCTTCAGTGCCAGGGGAAAAAACCAACCAAAGAAACACCTCAACAGCTTAGAGATGGATTTGATGCAGTTTTTATTTTTTTGGCGGAACCAGGGATTGAACTCAGGCCCTTTGTGCTTGCCATCCAAGCACTTATTCTACTGAGCCATCTCCCCAGCCCTGGATTTGAATAGGCTCTAAAAAGTGGCAGTTGAAAAGAGATCCTTACATAGAACCCAGCAGGAGCTATATTTAAAGGCCAGAAAAGTAATCAGAGAATAAAAAGGTTAGCTGTTGCAGGGAGTGACATCCCTTCCAGGGATTAGGGCAGGGGCAGAGTGGATAATTTCTCTACCGTGTGAGGACTCAGTGAGCTATGAATTATGGCTGTCTGTGGACTATGAAGGAAAAAGGAAAGACTGCAATGAAATGAGGAACAGTGCTGTAGGAACCTCACAGGACATCAAGAGACACAAAGAATCTGCGGTAGAGGAAGGCCAGAAGAGATCTGAGCTCCTATTAACTCCTGACTTCCCTGCAGCTGCTTAGGGAATAGCAGAAGGCAGTTAGCCAGAATCACAAGAGTCAATAAACTAAAGGATGCATCATTGCGGTTAGGAATACAGCCCCCGGGGTCAATTTAGGGAACTGAACACAGGAAAAAGAGTGTACCACCTATCACTAAAGTGGTCTGCAACAGACAAGAGAGCTAGAGGAGCTGACAGTCTGAGGGAAAGGCCCCAGCCCATTCCCTTCTCGTGACTGACAGGAAGACCTGGATCCAGAGATGTGCAGCTGCCATCACTGCCCCTCAGCACTGCTCCCCTTGCGCAGTGCCAGGGCCAGAACTCAGGTCACCGAGCTGCTGGGCTTAAGCCTCTTCCCTACAACTGCCTCCCGCTGGGGTCCTGGATACCCATCTTGGACTAGAAAGAAACAACACAATAGGCAACTGCTTCAAACATATTTATTATTTTTTACAGATCCTAAATACACTGATAACCCTTCAATGCATGTTGGCATAAGGTGATGACAGGACTGAAATAACACCACTTTCCAGCGGGCACCCATCTCGGGGAGGCAGCTTTCTGCAGAGATCCACAGGAGTAGCCACTCAGCACTCAGGCCAGCAGTGGAAACTGTGTTCACACCCGTGCTGTGCTGGGGATAAGCTGCCACCTCGTGGTACCTTCAGCTCTTACTGTGTTGGGAGCCCCTGGAACATTTCTAAGGCAGCTAAGCCCTCAGCAGGATGCCTGTGAGACCATGACAGGGATGTGCTGAGCTCCCTGTGCCTGGATGTATCACAGTTGTCAGTCACATGGTTGCATTACAGAAAGGCATCAGAAGGCCAGGGCCTGAAGTGCCAGGCCAGAGCCCTATCACGTGCCCTGTGGTTTCCAGGTAGCTGTGGCAGTGACTCTGGAGTCCTTCAGTGTGTGCTCATTAACATCCTGTTCCACGGATGATGCTTTCTACTTCTCAGAGCTCTTTAAATCTACTCGCTTGTTTCCTTCCAGCTTACTTCCTCCTTCTCACCGGCGCTGGTTTAGACCTGTCAGGTTCTTGAGCTGACACAAGAAGAGAAAGCATGGTGAGGCCTTGCCCTGCCTCTAGGAAAGCACTGGGAAAGACTGAGGTTTGCAAGGCAGCAGGCATGGCTATGTTACTCCAGAGTTCTGGAATCAGTAGTTTCCTGATGCCAGTAAAAAAAAAAAAAAAGATAGGACATTCTGAATCGAGACCAATACTGGGGCTGAAACCAGTGTCAGTCCATTAGCTTTCAGTTTAAGGCTACAAGCCATGTGGGGTCAGGGACATGTGGTAAACTTCACAAGGCCAGAGCGGGAAGCAGGGTGGACAGGGGTAAGCTGGGTAGTACTCACTGTTACTGCTGCACCCATGAGTCCTTGCACTAGTGCCTCTCCAGTAGACTTCACCTACAAGAGTAAGGGTCACATTCCCTTAGGCCCTGGCATGAGCCCAAAGGTGGGCAAGGGACAAATCCAGAAACCTGTGAGCCCTGATAGGTGGAGTCAAGATGAAGCAGGAGCCTAGGGAAGGGCAAGGCACAGCTCTTAAGGAAGGGCTGGGATGAGGAAGAACAGCCAGGCTCCCTAGAAGGGCCCTTGGGACAATGAGCTGAGGCCCTAGGTAGCAAAACATTAGCTAGGTAACTAGCTGTGGCATGGGGAGAATGCGTGTGCTGACGGAAGAGGCTTCCAAATGGCTGCTCCCCAGGTACCTGCTTGGCAGTATGGCCCATGTTCATTGCATCATTAATCCGGTTTTCCAAGAAGCGCCAAGTGTCCTCAAAATCTGGGGACGAATCCTGCATCATCACCAGCTCTGTTGTGTTGTAGATGCCCGCGAGCACGGCTCGGCGGGTGTACCAGTTAAACTGCAGAGAACCAACCAGGAAGGTGGGTTACTACTGCTGTTCTGGGCTGGGCCTTGGGGACTGTCGGGCTCTCTTCTGGTTTCTTCTTTACCTCAAGATACATGCAACCCTCTGGTCTACACTAATGTCCCAAGGCTGGCTGGGCATCAGAACCACCTGAGCTCCTGGGCTCAACCTTTAGCATTTACAGTCAGTGGGCCTGAGAGATATCACAATGTTGAATCAGCATCCCAAGTGATCTGCGGACCTCTAACCCACCCAGAACTGCTTGCGAAAAGACCAAGTCTTAGGATATCTGAGTCCCAGGGAGGTGCTGCAATTGGCCAGTTACAACCAAGTCTTTGTGTGCTTGTAAGCATGGTGAGGGCTAAGGCAGGATCAGGAACAGGTTACAACGCCAGGGCACAGCTGAGAGTTCAAGCCCCTCTGCGACTTCTGCCCGTCTTGGCAAACTACCCTTCAGGGGACCAGCTCAGCTGCTTGGTGTTTTATTCCTTTAATTTCTTTGCTTTCTAATTTTGTTTTCCTATCATCTCTGCTGGTGGTATATTCCCACATGGAGGAAACTTATTAAAGTACTTTGTTATAAGTGTGGTGGGAGTATCTGTGTGTCTCCCTATCTTGGATCCCATGAAGTACCATCACAATTTAATTTCTTTTATGAAGGTGTACTTTGTTTTTTTAATTTCCCACCAGAAACATGGTAGCATTAATAAATCAGATATGTTCTTCACTTATTGATCACCCAGCAAAGCAGGCCACGATGGGTGCAGAAAGGCAGTTTCTTTTTAAAGAAAGGGGCATCACTGTGGCATTCTTTCATTTTTTTCAGGTCAGTCTCAAGAAAGACAAACACTGAGGGCTTCTGCGGCAGAATCTCTATCTTAGGAGAAGAAGAAGATGACTGTAAAAAAGCAGCCCAATCACAGGGGCCCCTAAGGCCTCATGCTGCCACTGTAGGTGGGAAGGAATAATCACTGGTTTGTGGCTAGAATGCTGCTGAGTGAAGATGACCCAGATTCACTTTGGTGTACTGAAGGTCCTTCTTCAGACCTTAGATGCCAATGACACTGTGTGCATATGAGAGTACACACACACACACACACACACACACACACACCCCTTGCAATCAAATAAATTTCACAGAATTTCTAAAAAAATGCTTAACTCAAGCTTTTCCTGATGTATAACGGGCCTGCAGAAAACACTCACGTCAGTGGACTGGTCCCCAGCATAATGCCACATTTCATCTACCATGCTGGTTAGCAGGCTCAGGCTGGGTGGGATGTTTTGAGGCAGCAGGAGGATGCTGAGGGCCTGCAGAGAGAATAACAGGAAGAGCTTCTGCGCACAGGTAGCACCAGCACCTAGGGGGCGCTGCGGAGTAAGTAATGGGGACAGTCCACTGTGGTTCTCTGAGACCCACAGAATCCACCCCCGAGTGGGAACTCCTAGCAGCTAATGACCCTCACCACAGCTGATGGGAGCCAGGTCATATTTTTATCCAAAGCTGGTCCAGTCATATTCTCTGTCCCCAACATCTAGCATTGGGAATGCAGGCCATTCAAGGGTCCAGATTGGTCAGCAACCATGGGAGGGTGCCCTGCTCTGTCACAGAGTTAGAAGCAGAGGACAGAAGAGGGCAAAGCGGAGGGGAGTGTGGAGTGGATTCTAGGACCACACTCAAGGCCACTCCAGGGCCCAGCAGCAATCCTGCCCAGGGAGGACCACCTCAGTAATTCCTCCCCATTCTTTTGCTCAATTCAAATTGACTTCTATTTTCTGAAAGAAAAAATCTTTCAATTTATACTAGCAATGATACAAACCAGACGACTCTATTAGCAGATACTGCCACTACCCAGCCTGATAAGCCCAACTTGTATCACTTAAAAGTGCTAAAACCTAGGGGCTGTTGCCTGGGGAGCTGGATTGGCTGGAAGTTTTCTCTCAAAGCAGCTCATAAGGAAACTGCATGAATCATGAATCATGCGTGAATTGTGAATTGGCAAGGCAGGGAGGGCCTGGTGTGTATGCTTGCAGGAGGCAGGATTTACTCGAGCTATATTCCCCCCACACCAGCTGGGATCAGGCACACTTAGGTGCTCAGGTATCTGTCAACCAGAAGACTGAAATTACAAGTTCAAAGAAGTCTTCCAGCTGGATTGGAGATACTGAATGCTTTAGTCCCTCACATTTCTGATGTGTTTTGACACTGAACTCAAGGAATGGCTTATACTTGGACATGCTTTGATTAAAAGAAAAAAGAAAAAGAAAAAAAAAAACTCTCAGAAATGTTGAGGGGAAAAAAAGCCATGGAATGAATACTCTTATCTATGGATCACAATGACAATTTGACAAGAAGTCCCAGTCCTTCAAATCTGAAATAGGGCAGGGCTATTATTTATTATTATTATTTGGACAGGGCCAGGATCTGTCTATGTAATTCAAACTGGCCTTGAACTAACGGTGACCCTGTGCCTCAGCCTCCTGGGCGCTGGGACTACAAGTCTATGCAACTACACCCAGCTAGGACAGGGTTATTATTGAAGATAGGCAATAAAATATTCTGCCTATTTTAACCTCTTTGAGGGATTCTTCCTTGTCAATGATCTAGTGGCCCACTTAGGCCACTGGGCCATCTGAGATGTACAGCCATCACATGTCTAGAACTGAGACACAGATAGCTCAGAGCTGCTCTCTGTGCATGCCTAAGCTTGAAACCTAGCTCTACCAAGTGTACCACATCCTGGGCTTATGGAGGAGATTAAAGAGCTAAGTTTTCAACAGTGTGCAAAGTCCTAAGTGGAAAGTATTGAGCATGAGGAATGTTTTAATCACTGGTGCTCTGGGGCCTAGGTATGGACTCTGTACCCGGGGCCAGTGCTCAATGTACGGGATCAGCATTCTCAGCCTGGTTTCCACTGCATCTCTCAGGAACTGGTCTGTCTTCCTCTTCCTGGAAGAGGGAAAAGAAAACAGTGTGTCTCTGGGTGACAGGCAGGGGCTCAGTGTGGCACTGCTTACTCAACCAGGGGAGGAAGGTCCCACTGGCTCCTGATCTCACTGAAGCTGCCAGTGGGCTCCTGGGTCCCTTCTAAGCAGCAACGTTGTTAGTGCCATTCACTGTTGGCTCTGTTTGGGTTGTTTTTTTGGGGTCAGCTGTTGTGATCAGTCCCCCTTCCTCACCAGTCACCCTGAGCCACAGGACTTACTCTGCCTGGCCCAGCTGCACCAACTTCTGCTCCTCCTGTAGAATGTGGGTAAGCCGAGTGTTGCACTGGGTCACAAAATGCAGTATCAGCTCACTGCCGTTGTTCCCAAACATGCTGGCTGCTGCACTGGAGAGACCCAGAGACTACAGCAGGGGGAAAAAACAAAACAAAACAAATCATAAAGTGGTGGGCAGGGATTGTAGATGTTTGTTGCCTGGTCATCAGCATGTCTCTTCTAGTAGGAGGGGTGGGACTTTCTACCAGACCCCCACTCTTCACTCCAGCCCATGTGATTCTAGTGAAGCTGACTACCACCAGCCCCTCCAACACCCACCATCCCCACAGTGTGTGTGCAAAGAATGGGCTCCAGGCTTCCACAACTGGAGTAGAATAACCAGTTCTGGAACAGGCACATGACCGAGTGCAGGTTGGGACTGTACCTTGGGACAGGAGTGTATGTTGGGACCCTTGCTAGCAAGGAAAGTCTTCTTTCCATTGGGGCTGCTATACCATTTTCTGTCCTGCATGGAAGTGTATACTGAGAGGGAAGCTTGGAGAGGAAAGCAAAGAGAAATGATACAGACAGTAGCAGCACAATTAGGAGCACCGAGCCAGAGTTACCTCCAGACTTTCCTGTCATTTCATGAGCCAAAATATCTCCTTTCTGCCATGGGTAAGCAACAGCTGAGCTCTGGCACCTGAAACCTGGACACACCAGGGCCCTGGGGAGACCACTCGGAACTCTGCGTGACACTCACTTCACCTGGATTTCTTGGACACCACATCTGTCAGTGTTTAGAACAATCTTTCTTAATGAGTTGTTGAGGATTTAATGGAGCACAGAAAGCTTTTGCTAGTCCTGACTCACAGCAATCACTGAGGGTCTACTGGAAGCAGGATGGACAGCAGCAGCAGGGACAGGCAGCAGGAAAGGAACACAAACATATTAAATGTGAATTCCTACTGCTAGGAGGGGAAAGTGCTCCTTTTTTTGGAAAAGCGTGTTTTCATAGAGAAGTTGGCAGAAAGAGCTACAGCATCAACACTAACGGTGAGTACCACCTTCCTCTTCTCATGCTCCTAGCTCTCCCTCCCAGGATGGTCGGTAGCCCCAAAGGACCCTCCCTCCAATCACAGAGACCTCAGCGCCTGCTGAGCAGTGTTTCCTCCTCACAGGCCTAGGATTTCCCTTCTTGGGTCTCTCCTTCTACCATTCAGTTTGAATACAGTAAGTCCTCAATTTACCAATAGTCAAGTCTTGAATTTTCACAGGTGTACTGTATTAAGACTCGCTGTCAGCTTGTGAATGAATCCAAATCCAAGGTAAGAACAATGGAAGGAATGGAACTCATTTGTTAAGGACTTACTTTATTCCTACTCTTCCTTTTGGTCCCTCAGCCTTGGCTGGAGCTGCCTCCTGTAGCTGCTTCTCTACAGTATCATTTTTTCATCCTGTTACCTGCTTACCAACTTTATACCTGGTAAAAAATTCCTTGTATTAGATTCCATTCCCAAAACTGGTGTGGCTATTGTTTCCTGACTGAACCCTGAGAGGTACAGTCCCTAAAGGAGCAATGTCCCTTCTTGGAACCTGTCCCAAAGAAATGAACTAAAAAATGTACTAAAGTATGTTCTATGAATAGGTTTACAACACACACACATACACACACATGGAAACATTCAAATACTTATGAACTGAGGCTGAGTACCTATAAAAAATGAAGACTGAATAACGATGTTAAGTTTCATGCAGCTATTATGAAAGAAGACATACAGAGCAAGAAAGGTCTGTTGGCAGAAGACCCAGTGTAACGATTCTTCGAAACAATCTTTACACTTCAGTCTTTTACTTGTCCCACCTCTTTCTGTAATGATTCCTGAGAACCTTTACCCCTACCCTCAAGCCTTTGCCTCCTCCCTCCCCCAGCTTCAGGTTCACAAGGCAACCACATCTACTTCAAAAAGAAAACAGAACCCATCCCCTCTGGGAACTCCCTAACAACCCGAAGCTGGCTCCCCCATCTCTGCACCTACCGTATCATGGTCAGTCCTTCCACCTGCTTTTCCTGATCTCCTAATTCTTGCCACCTAGAAACCTCATGGTTTTGATCTTACCTATTTTCTCCCCACACCTTCATCCTCATCTCTGAACCCTTCCCAGGAGTGTTCAACCACACTCTGCCCTCCACTCCACTTTCTCTCCTGGGCACATCCTTCACAGCCAAATGCTTCTACACGTCCTCAGTTTCTCTTTATGCCCATATCCACTGTGACTGGTTTCTGACCCCAGATCACATCCCAATGGCTGCAGCTACAGAGACCAATATCAAATTGTTTAATCCACCTTCTTCTGCTCTGCCTCTACACTAGGACATTCAAACTTAAGACTTCTTTGATGGCTCAACACTTTATCCTACCCTTAAATGTTAAGAGTTCTCCGAGGATCTATACTTCCCTCTTATCACACTACATTTTTGCTTTAAGGCAATCTGATTTACTTCCACAGTTTGTGACACACAAATGCTACAATGCCCAGAGGTCTACCTCTAGTCCAGTTACCTCCTCCAAATCCAGACCTATACAGTTGATACTTCTACTTGGTTGACTCAAAGCCTCATACTCGACAAAGAACAAGATTGCACCCACCATCCATCCCCAAACCTGGCCCTCTTCCACTGGGCCTACTCTCAGAAAACTATACCACCATGGGCTCACACATGCAAACTGGCAATTCTGGTGCCATCTTGTCACATCTTCTCCCATGTCCAATGCTGCACCAAACCCATCCCTTGTCTCTATTGCAGTGCCACCACTCTGAGCCAGACAACATCATCTCTCCTGCATGACTGCGGCAACCCCCCAAAGATTCTCTGGCCCCATTTATTCCCACTCCTCAGTAATGGTGGGAAATAAAAACTCAACACGGTATCTTCGATTAGTCTTAGAACCTAAGTCTATATCATCCATGACCTTTAGCACTTGTCAGATTTGGCCTTCACATATTTTCTCCAGTCTTACTCAAGTCTCTCTTCCTTCACTGTGTTTGATGGTTTCCTTTGGTTCTCTTAACACCACATACTTCTCTCCACTTCCAACTTGTGGCTTCTCTATCTGGATTTGTCCATCCCCCAGGTTACTGCCCAAGTCAGACAGAGCCAACTCATTCCTCAGTTCACAGCCTTTCAGATCAGGCAGCTCTACAGTATGTCTTGATAGCACCATTTCATGAGAATACAGGCCACATTTTAGAAGTACATGTAGCACATGTTTGATTAATCCCTGCAGCAAGCTAGGGATGAGATGTAACTGGCCTTCCTTCAGGCTGTTCTCAGATGGCATCTGGATGACCCTGTATATGTGACCTAAATATGAGTCTGTTACTTCATCTACAGCAGCAGTCTGTTGCAATGAAGAGCAAAACATGTCAGACTTACTGAGAAAAATACAGTATGTTGGTCTCCCAAGTGGTACCCTCTCGGGGGTTTTCAATTATTACATCTCATTAATTCTAGAAAGTACTTTTGTGAGACAGGATCTCACTATTTACTGCAGGCTGTCCTTGAACTCACTATACAGCCCATGATGACCTCGAACTCATGGTAACCCATATACCTCAGCCTCCCAAGTGCTGAGATTACAGGTGTGCACCACCACTTTGGGCTAAAATATGGTAAATTTGATCACAGCTATTTCTCATCTAACAGGCTGTCTTAGAACATAGTTCCTGCTGGGTATGATGGTACACACCTGTAATCCCAACATTTTGGTGCCTGAGACAAAAGGATCACCACACAAAAGTTCAAGGCCAGCCTGTACTACACATAGAGACTCTGTCTCAAAAAAAAAAAAAAAAAAAAAAAGGAACCAAATCTTTTTATAGTTAAAAAATAATCCCATTTCCACCCTACTGGGTCTCCCCTTTCAAAAACAAAACAAAACAAAACCTAAACAACCAAACAAAAACAGACAACCCTGTGGCTGGAAGCACTGAGCTGGTCTGGAGGAAGGCACAAGGCCCTCTCCAATTCCTGGCTGACACTGGTCAGGCTGCCCCACCTCACCTACACGCACCTGGGCTCCCTGGGCAATTGCTTCTGCTGTCCAGCCATGGGCGGGCACAAACTCTAAGGCTGCTGTCAGGATGCGGTGCTGCAGCTGCTCCTCGCTCTCATAGTCCTCCTCCTCTTCCCCACTGTGGTCTGTGTACCTGGGACAGAGACAGAGGCCTTCCCCTTCATCTCATTGTTCACTGCCTGACAGGTGAGATGGGTGACACCTGAGGCTCCGGGTCTCCTCTAAGCACAGGATGAAAGGACATTAACTTCTGTGTCAGTATGAATGTTTTCCTGCCAATGAAAACACTGGCATCCTTGTATTCCCATCTGATCACGGTGAGAAGGGACACAGTGAGCCATCAGTTCTATCATAGGAAGCCAACGCCCTCCCTCAAGGTCCTGGGCTTCCCTGTTTACAGCCTTTGGCACACTGGGCTCCAAGGTTTCCTTATCTGTAATCTGCACCACACTGTAACTCCATCTTCACACGAGCAGGGATGACTGTGCTATTCAAGGGCCATTTTTTGAAGTAGATCTTCAAAAAATATTTGTTGAATTGAAAAGAAAAGTACTTTAACTAGGAAACCAGGTAAAGATGATGAATGCACTCACTTTACATTGAAGGACATTTAATTTCCAGTGGCAGGATTAATAAAAATAAACCTAAAGGAAATATAAATTAGGGCTGGAAAGATAGCTCAGTAGAATAAGCACTTGTCTGACAAATGTAGGGTCCTGAGTTCAATCCCCTGTACCACAAAAAAAAACCAAAACAAACAAGCAAACAAACAAAAAGAAATATAAATTATTACCACCTTTTGGCAGGGCAATTTGGCCCCACCTATGTAATGAAAC